ATGGCAAAGAAGAAATCAAAATTTGTTTTTATTTCTTCTAGTTGAAATTCTTTAAAAGGATCTAAGAATAAATCGATAGATAAAGACACTAAAAACAAACATAGAGAGCCGTTAAGGCACTTGATCATGAATTAAACATTAATAAAACGAATCAAAATGGTGAAAGATTAAGGCATAAATAAATCTCTAAATGGGCAGTTTAAAGGAAGCACCAAGAACGTGAACATTTTTCTTAATGACTTTTACAATTCATTTCATAACCGGCAGATGAATGTAAAGTGGTGGACAATTCGATCATTTTTTTAGGCGAATGTACACAAACAAACAAGTTGATTTTTTTACCTTCCTAGTTATTTTATTAGTTTTAAGCAGAAATTTTGTAAATCATCTGCTATAAGTGATATTAATCGATAGCTAACACTTTGTTATATCGATCACTATTGAAAGTGAAGTGATTAAATTTCAATAAACAGCATATTTTAAGAATTAAATTCGAATTTGGAAGGAAATTACGCAGTGATTTGTGTCCTTTTGTTCATCTTCATTACTATTGTCTTTACACACATTGAAGTATCTCGCGACAGACCCTTTTCTGACAATTATCCATCTGGTGGCAGGCATCCTAAACTTATCAGAAGGAATTGAAATAGTAATTAATACAAGGCTTCTAATTGCCTTTTATCAGGTGATTAGCATTCCAATTAAGTTTAAAATTTCGCCCCGAAGATCTGCGCTTTCTTTCGAATTTTTTAGTCATGCCGAAGTGTAAGGAGAATATTACTGCAAAGAAAAGACCGGGAGTTAGCTGTGTATCGTGTAAGAAAGTTTACCATCACAACTGTGCGAGTCTATCTACAGAGTGCATCAAACATATCAGCACAGATCAGCTGTCGTGGTCCTGCAAAAAGTGCAACAATCCAAGCAGAAGATCTTCAGTTTTTCCCAGTGGTGCAATAACAGATTCAAGCAGTTCCAGCTCTTCTTCACCAACTACAAACAACACTATTGAAAGATTGATCAAAGAGTTTGAGGATTTTAAAATTCTGACTGATAATCGAATCAAAGCATTGGAAGATTTACTGACTGAAAAAGATAAACAATTATCAACTTTAGCATCATCAGTTCATAAAAACGAATCAAAAACAAGCGAATTGGACAAAGTTCTCAGCGAAGATAAGTTAGAAATTCAAGGTATTCCTGAGGCATCACTCGATAATCCGATCGAAGCATTTAATTCTGTTGCTAGCGCCATCGAGTCTCCAACTAGAGCTTCTGAAGTTGATTGTTTTATATCAAGTTGTGGAACAAAACCAACTTTAAGAATAAAATTTCATCAGACACAAACTCGTTCTTCCTTTCTTTCTGCTGGTAAGCGTTTTAACAAAGAAAAGAAATTATTAAAACTTGGTGATAAGTGGCACAAAATCTTCGTTAACGAACTGCTATCATCACAACAAAAAAGGTTGTTATACGACACGAAAACTTTCGCAAAGGAAAAACAATTTAAGTTCGTCTGGTTCTGTAACGGTGCTGTTAATCTCAAGAAATCTGAAGATACTTTTCCCATTAGAATATCATCACAAGATCAATTAGACAAAATTAAAAATGAATATCAAATTTTATTACCAGAACGTGAGAGGCCTCAGATCGAAGACCAACCAGGTCCTTCAAGAAATTAAAGCTAACGAATTTGATATTATTTTTTTGACTGAATCTTGGCTAAACAGCGGGATCTACAATAGAGAATTTATAGACGATCGATATGAGGTTTTCAGGAGGGACAGAAGTAGAGAAACATCGAATAAAACTGATGGAGGTGGAGTTTGTATTGCTGTCATAAAATCACAAGCTTATGCAGTTATTCATCAAATTGAGTGGCAGACAAAGGAAGTGGAAGATCTGTGGATAACAATAAAGCCACATAGGATGAATGAGAAAACTTTACACATTAACATTGTTTACATACCGGGAGAAACACACAACAATCATTTTGAGACTTTCACAAAACAAATTACAAATAAGAAGCTTGAAAACCCTGATGATAACTTCCTTATTCTTGGTGATTATAATGTTCCTTCTATGTACTCCAACAACACTCTGTGCACATCAACGAAAGCTTCAATGTTACAAGAGTTTATGGATCTCACAAATCTTGAACAGTTTAACTTTATACGTGGAAAGCATTCAAGCAACAATATTTTGGACTTGGTATTTTCTGATCTTCCAGTTAAAGTCGAAGAATGTGATGAACCTTTAAGCAGAACTGATATTTTTCATCCTCCAATAGTTGGTACACTCTCCTTAAAGTTACCTAAAGCTGCGAAAAAGGTGTCTTCTTATCGAAACTACAAACGAGTTAATTGGAACGACTTGAATAATGATCTTCGAGTAATAAATTGGCCTCATGCATTCGCTGGTTTTGTGAATGTTGACGAGCTTGTGGATCGTTTCTATAAAACTTTGTTTGACATTCTAGATAAACATTGTCCGGAAGTGAAATCAAAAGCCAAGAATAATCCAAGCTGGTTGTCCAAAAACACTGTTAAACTGATCAAATTTAAGAGAAGGTTTCACAGCAAATGGAAAAGATCAAACAACATAACCGACTATAACGAGTACAGTAAATATCGAAAAATGGCAAAGGAAGAAGCATCAAAAGATTTCAAAGTTTTTAATCAAGAAGCTGAACAAAATATTAAAGAAAATCCAAAAGCTTTTTGGAAATTTGTTAATGAAAAGAAGACAAATGGTGCTGGAGTTGCTGAGTATCTGAAATTGGACGACAAAGTAGCATACAACAAGCAAGACGCTGCTAATTTATTCGCATCTCACTTCAGCAGTGTGTATGAAATGGATGATGATCCAAGTGATCCCCATGAACGTCCATGTGATGAGAATGACGCAAATCATGACGGTAACCATCTCAAATATGAAATATACATGAGCACAATCTTCGGAAAGCTTCTTGAACTCGATGTATCCAAAGCCAGAGGTCCAGATAACCTTCCACCAATTCTTTTTAAAATGTGTGCAACTTCACTCGTTTATCCAATGTTCATCATATTCAATGAGTCTCTTGAACGTGGAGAATTTCCGTCTGCTTGGAAAAAAGCTTATGTTGCTCCAATTCATAAAGATGGCACGACTCACGACGTTAAAAACTATCGACCGATTTCAAAATTATCAATAATCGCGAAAATCTTTGATAACATTATGGCTGATGAAAAATTTGATGAACACAGCGACGCAATATTACCACAACAACATGGATTTTTTAAGAACAGGTCGACAGTCACGAATTTAGCAGATTATACGGAAAATCTTCAAAGAGTTATGGACAATTCCAGTCAAACCGATGTCATCTTTACTGATTTTTCGAAAGCATTCGACAAAGTTAGTCATAAGAAGCTACTTGGAAAATTAAGAACATTTGGAATTTATGGGAAGAGGCTGGCATGGTTCAAGTCGTACTTAACAGGAAGATCGCAAAAAGTACAACTTGGTGAGTATTTCTCATTCGATATTGACGTTTCTTCTTCTGTCGTCCAAGGTTCTCATTTAGGTCCAATATTATTCTCCTTATTCATTAATGACATCTCGGAAATCTTCAATGAAGTCAAATTCTGCATATACGCAGATGATCTGAAGATTTATAAGGAGATTAAATCTGAAAATGACGCCTCAATACTACAAGAGAACCTTAATCGTCTAATAGAATACTCAAACTCGAACAAACTTGCCCTTAACGCGAAGAAATGTGTCGTGACAAGCTTCACAAAGCGACAAACCGCAATGATCTGCCACACGTATCACATTAATGGAGTTGAACTTGAGAGGAAAGTGATCATGCGAGACCTTGGAGTAGCTTTTGATAACAAGCTTAATTTTGGTGAACATATCGACAACATCTGCACCAAAGGAAGACGAATGTTGGGATTCATCATGCGAGTTGGTAAAAATTTCACAAGCATTGAAACATTTAAAACGCTGTACAACTCTCTGGTCAGAAGTAATCTTGAGTACGCTTCGGTGATCTGGAATCCACACACAACATCCCAAATACTCAGAATAGAAAGAATTCAACACAAGTTCCTTATATATGTTGCCAGAAAGTGCTTTAGTATGGAGATAGATGAAGACAACTCGTATGCTGAAATGGAAAATCGTCTCGACATTGATACTCTGGAAGTGCGAAGAGTTTTTTCAGACATGAAGTTTTTGACAAAATCTTTCAACAATTATGTTGACTCAAGCACATTTCGTCATCATCTCCAATTTAATCGACAACAGCCAACAAGAAGCAACGAAATTTTCAGAACTGCAGCAAGCAAAACAGACGTCGGAAAGTTTTCCATTTTCAATAGACTCATGGCAAGATACAATCAAATCTTCGATGACATCAATTTCCTGAAAACTCAACCTAATGATGCTCACTTGAAACGAATCATTCGTCAAAAAATGCTTAACATTTAAGCTGAGTTTTTTTATGCTGATGGAACGCTATTTGGGGGAGGTAGTAACATGGCACTTGCCCTCAGAGGCTCCTTCCGTCAGCACTTTTTTCTCAATCACACTTTGATAAGCTAATTAACAGTTTAATTTCAAATTTCTCTTAAAACCTCGAATAACACAAGATAATTCTATCAATAATTCATTCAATTTTTATGACAACATTTAACGCAATCGCTACATATATGTAAATATTAAAATTGACTATTTTTAATCAAATTGATGAAAATATTGTTAAAAGCAAAGTAGACCAAAATTACATTTAAAAGCATAGATTTGCTGCAGCATAGGGGTTTTATTACCTGTTATTGTAGCTCAAACTCAAATAAATAAATAAATAAATAAATCTCCGTTACCTGACCGTTAAATTTGGG